GCTCGCCGCTGTCCGTTGTCCGTTGTCCGCTGTCCGCTGTCCGCTGTCCGGCTAAAAATATTCGAAACAATGTAGACAAGAAGTGCTCAGCGCCGGGCGGAGTTTTTGTGGACGTGGTTAGCGACGCGGTGGTGTTTACCCACATGTAGGCATATGCATATGCTGATTTCCACCAAGGCGGGGGCTTCCACTTCTCTTTTATTCATCATTTGGGTGGGAGCAGGAGGAGACAGGGAACGGCCACCGACTTGGTGAACCGTGAAAAGAAAAAAACAGCCAAGGGGTGGAGTTCTCCCGCTCCAGCTCAGGCAGGAGACTCGGAATTTCGTAATGTTAACAAACAAATAGAAAATAACTTTCATGCACAAAGCCGTAGCTTCCTCTAACAGAGAAAGAGAGACAGTCGCCGACGACAGGCCACCTTTCGCCCAGAGCTGGACTTTACACTAAGGGAAAAGTTAAGAAAAACTTAATATTAATATGAACAAAAAAGTAATGAAATAAACTCCTTAAAATATATTTTAATAGCATATAAATTAGAGTAGAGTACTCTAATTTTAGTCAGAAGCTATAAACCCTATAAACCATATATATTCTTGATCAGCATCAAGAGCCCAATCGTTTTAGCCATGTCCGGTCAAAAAATAAATTTTTAAAATTTTTCCGAAAATTGAAAATTTTATAAGGGGTTACATCATTAAAATTGTTAAAATTTGACAAAAAAATGAATTTTTTAAATTTGAAAACTGAGTATGCAGATTTATTATTTAATTAAAAATTAGCATAGAACAGCTTTCCGAATTAAAATTAATGATTTTTTGGATTATTTAATAATAATAATAAAATAATATTTTAAGCTAGTTATAACCGATATCCGATTTGATCTTAAAGTTTTATTGCATAGTGCATGAGTACAAGAACTTCTCTTAAAACTTTATCAGTAATTAACCCTTTATAATGTATATATATATTTTATTTTTGCAATTCCAATGTAATCTTTTGAACTTTTATAGGTTTACTTTTTATCATTATTCAAAGAATAAATTTTTCTATTTTCCACTTATACAACTAATTTTCTTAGTGCATAGCCTTAGTTTTGAAGACCAAGACCAGCGGAAATATGCTCAAGTTTTGTGTTTTTGTTGGTCGGAAATGTTTAGAGCTTGCCCAGAATGATTAAAGTGTCGCTTTTTGTCTAGCCTCAGTTGCTTTTTCCCATTTGAAATGCAAAAATGTTCATCAAATTTGGCTGAGTAATGCCAAGGTAAAGAAATCTGTGTACTCTGTTTTATTTAGAGGAAATTGCAAAGACTTCCTGATACTTCTCGAGGTTGATGTAAGCGTGAAATAGATTTTTCGGAATCACCATTCATTTTGGCAATCTGGAATGGCTTTTAGGAGATAGTTAAAGGGTCTAGTTCCATACACTCTTCTACAGAAAATTCATTTATATAACCTTATAACTTGTTGTAAAACCTTACTAGTTGTTCATAGCTCCTGAGTATATTTTTGCTAAAATTGAATTAATTATAAGATCGACACAAGTCCATGTAAATATGACAGGAAAAAACTGCCACGGATTCAATTATTATAAACCCATATTTTAGCTATATACACAGTCCCATACATAATCCATCAGTCTTAATCCATTTGTTGGGTCTGTCACTCAGATTTAGATACCGAAGCCTGGCGAGCGACTGACTCATGTGCATCAATATCACGGCGAGCACGCACCACTCGGAGTTGGACTTGGATCTGGAGCTGAAGCTGGAGCGACCCACTTGGATGCCAGCCGCCGGAATGTAATGATTAACTTTTCGCAGTTGCTAAATTAAGTGAGTTTTTACTGGGGATCGGGACCGGGATCGAGGTGGCGGATGAAGGGCAGAGGGGTGGCGGCAGAGACATGATCGCATTGCGTGTCTGGGCGACTGGGGCCAGAAATGATTTCCACATACCACAGCAGTTAAAGCCCTTAAGTCAGGGAGAAAATCCAATTAAATTCGGTAGCGAAAGAAATAAGTCTGAACTGTCGGCAAAATGATTCTACATACACGTATTTGCGTCAACATTGATTTTGCAGCAAACAGAAACATCCAAACAGGGGGCATCGGGTCCCCCGGAGGAGTTGTGCGGGGCCAGGAGCGGCTAAGCGGATCCGAGACAAAGACGGACAGAATGTAGTTCATGTGCATGGCGATGGCGTGATTGAGGACGAACCCGAGGACAGCAGTAGCAGCAGCAGCCACTGCAGTGGGCATCAACGGGAGCAAGCAGCAGCAGCAGCAGCAACATCAGCAGCAGCAGCAGCAACATCAGCAACATTGCCAATAGGACACACAGAGAAAATACTAAAATTAAGCACATTGAACGAATACTTTTTAATGGCTATATTACGATATATTACTTCTAAAATATATATATTTATAAGGCTCCTTCACACTACTTGTTTATAACTATGATAAAAATACTTTCAAAGTCCCTATTGTTGTTACAGATTTATATTTAAATAAAAACATAATAGTTTATTGATTTTCCTGCAGTGCAGCGTCAAGAACATTGGCAGCATTAGCCACATCGGGTTGCAACTTGTGTTGCTGCTGCAGTTTGCTGAGGCGTGATGTGAGTTTAAGCGTCTGCCGGGACTCGACTTCGATTTGACTCTCCAAGTTTGAGTTTTCAGTTGAGACAAAGTCCGCAGTGCGGACCGCAAAACCGTCCAAAAGTTGCGTGCCCATAGGTCTTCTGTGTAATTGCGCAACAATTGTCAGAAGCTCCCGCTCCTGTTCCTCCGATCCGCTCCTGAAATGCCCCGCCTTAAGTAGCAGTTGGCGCTGCTCTCGGCAGTAGCCGCTTTTAAGGGCAGAAACCGCAATCAAGACACGGACACGTCATGGAGCAACAAAAAGAGCTAAGCTAAGGAAATCAAAGGGGAAAAAGCATATATGTACATATAGCTCCTCCAGCTAAGGCTACCGACTCTCGACTACCTTCGTGTCTGCGTCAAACTTGCGGAAATCTGATTTTAAAATTATTAACAACATGCAATGGCTAAATAGTTTTGCATTCGATAACAAAAGCCGCTCCTCCTCACAACCGCTCCACCAGTTCGTTCGGGATTCAAAAACATGTCCAAGACGAATTTCAATCTCGCTGCTGCTCCAAGGGAGAAAATCCATACCAAACTTCAATTGAAATCCAAAGGAAAATCACTTTGAATAGAGGGAAAACTGGGAAATGGGGGCTGTGCTTAGTGACCGCATCGTATAATTCACGAATTCAAATTCAAACTATATCGAATGGTACCGGGAGCCGGCGCTCTTGGCCAACAGACCGTTATAGGGTTAATTAAATGCGGATCCAGTAGCTCCCGTTTCCACGCCAGTTTCTCCACGTTCCAAGCTGCGAGTTTGCGAGCTGCCAGCTCCACTGCAGCTGCAATTAGAAGTTGCACAAAAAGCGCAATAGGAAAAACCAGGCAGGCAGGCAACTGCTGCAAAAATGAAAATGAAAAACATGGAAAACAAAATGGCGATAACTACCGCAATTTGCATATAAATGGACGTAGAAACGTCTTTAGTCACCCGAATCTTGAGCAAACCATAGGAGCGATTAACATTGTTACCAGTCGGTCGGGGGTGGCAATGGGGGAGGAGGTAGAGGCTATAGAGGCGGAGGCGCCGCAGGGAAACGACATTAGCACACAGGAAAAAATTAGAGTATCAAACAATGAATAAAACTGTATTTAAACACCTTTATATAGTTTTAATATAGGAGTGTAAACATTACTTAGAGTAAGTATACAAAATAAGGAATTAAATGGACTTGAACTAGTGTTATCGCCCCAATTTCTAGTTTAAATCTGATGAAACCTTTGTATCTTAAATCATTAATCTTAAAACATGCTAATTCAGTTAAGACTTACAATTGGAAATTTTAATATTTTAAATTAAGCAAGGTACACAGAAACATAAAGCATTTGTTGCAATTGATGGTTTGGTATATTACCTGGTACTTCTCTCGATTAAACCACATTCAAATGGTTCTTAATTCTTGTAAATTTAGTCCAGATCTTAGCCAGTTTCAAAAGAATGCTTTTTAGGAACTACCGAAACTGTCAAAGATAAATAATTCATACTTTCTAAGTGTCTACACCCGGAAGTCACATTAATCCAGCTATATATCGAACTAACCCTTTAAATTTTTAAGGAATCTTCTTCTTCAAAGTACAATATATAAAGTAAATTCAAAATGAGTTCCTGAACTATAATATTCCCCATTATTTTACCTCAGTGCAGTAAACATTGCAACCAAAGTGCAGTGGAAAACAGCCACATCGCCACGGAACCCACGGAAAGCGCAACAAAATGGCGGAACAGCCGTCAGAGCGTGGCACCAACACCAACTCCGATTCCAACTCGAACTCGTACTCCTCCTCCTCCGCCTCCTCCTGCTGGGAGGGAGGCTACCTGGTACCCAACTCCCAACACCGAAACCAAGCCAAAACCAACACCCTACCGCTGCCCTACCGGTAGTAAAGGTGATGCCATCAAGCGTGTTAGCTCGGTGGGCAGCGGCGACTGCCAAGGGATTGCCTGCCTGCCAAGTTAGCTGATGGCCTCGACCTCCCAGTACAGTGAGAGAAAAATGTAGCAGAACCTAAGAAACCTAATAAATAGGAGATAGATACAATACAAGTTGAAGAGCTAAAGGTCTCTTATGGATAAGTTTAAATCAAATAGGGAAAGCGGAGCATGGAAAAAGTTATAGATAGTTAAATATATTAAAGATTGTACTTTACAGAAGAGTAACTATATATCGACCATACTTTTTTACAGCTGGAATCTTACCTGATTGTTAATTAAGCATGAAATATCTAAAAACCATGCTTTATTTGTTTAAAAGAGCCGTTTAAATTGACATTTAAAATGCTACTATGCTACTACAACTTCTCCTGAAAACAAATGTAAAGCTAGTTCTTTCATTACACTTTTACTTATTATAAAAGGCTTTCAAATGGGTCATTTAAACGGAAGATTATTCCATGGAATAATGTATGTTATTGTAAAGAAACCTCAGTTAAAAGCTCAGTGTAGAGAGCTACCTGGTCAGCCCTCTCCCCCTTGAAGTTCCACTGCCACTGCTTGGATAGCCTCGTAATTGCGATTGTTTTTGTTCGAATGGCGGGGCATTGGCTGCAGAAAGGCGACCGCTGCAGTTGCCGGAGCAGCTCAGGCAACCACCCGCGTCCACAGCAAGAGCAGAGTGGAGTTCACCTCTTCACCTGGTTGTGGGAGTACCCCCACTACCACCTCCAGTGGCCTGCATTGATATCACCCATTGTGCCGGTGGCAGGGCTGTTATTATGCAAATGCCATTCACAGGTAATTACCACGCTGCTCCGTTATAATTGCGCTCGAAGCCCAGCTAGGAATAATCGCGATTGCAGTTCGCAGCTCCCATCCATCTGGGCTGCCATCTTTTTGCGACCGAAAAAGAAAACGAACGAAGGGAAAACGTTGGAAAATCGAAGCCGCCAACAAGATGTTGTTTGCCACTAATTGCAGTAGCTGCTCAGTTGCAGTTCCCTTTTGCAAATGCAAATGCAAAAAATTCAACTTGGCTATTTCGAAACTCTGTTTAAATCGCAGACACAAATTGTTACAATACTTTGACGGTGAGTGCTTTGGTTTCTTAAAGATACAAAATGACTTACTGTTTGCCTCACTTTAGTTGCAAATACTATGATGAGATCTTCCCAGGAAAAGTTATGTTTTTCCTTGTATCTATTACAATTTAGTTACTTTTTAGGTTAACTTGTGGTTTCAGTTTTAAATTATTAATATGTTTTTCACTTTATAATAGAATCACTTTTAATATTGATTGTTCAAGCCTAGTTTGCTCGCTGAACCTTTGTGTGGGTATTGATTTAAGCCTAAATTTTTATATATCATTTTGATTAGTTATAAATCCAACATTTAAAATATATTTAATTTTAATTGAATTGAATGTTTTAAGAGATATTTAATTGCACAATGCAAGACAGGGGGCTTACTTTAAATTCGGCTAACTTGAACAAGTTTTAAAGAAGGCATTTGACTTGCAAATATGCGTAGTTTTTAGATATAGATAAAATTTTACAATAAGTACTATACACTACCTATGGTTTAGAATAAATTAATTATAAACATTATAGATTATACTAAAGAAGAATTAAGGGAATCAACATTTGATATAAGCATAATAATGTCTATTCAATTTTATTTGTTATACCCTTGCAGGGTATTATAATTTCAGTCAGTTGCCTAAAACGCAGTGAAGAAATCATTTCCGACCCTATAAATCATATAAATTCTTGATCAGCATCAACAGCCCAATCGTTCTGGCCATGTCCGATTAAAAAATAAATTTTTAAAATTTTTCCGGAAATTAAAAATTTTATAAGGGGTTACATCATTAAAATTGTAAAAATTTGACAAAAAATTGATTTTTTTAAATTTACAATCGGAGTATGCAGATTTCTTATTTAATTGAAAATTAGCATAGAACAGCTATCCGAATTGAAATTTATGATTTTTTAGCTTAGTTATGACATTTGAAAAACTTTGATTTACCCAAATTTAGCATCCAAGACTATTGTTATAAATGGTTTTGTTTATTGAAATTGTTGATTGTTATTACTGGATTCTTTACGATTTTTTAACTATTGTAGATCAAGAAATCTCTATTATTTGTTTATTTAACAATGTAAAATATATAAATATGTAAAGTATATAATTGCGTTGAATTCCATATTATTTTTTCTTTCATACGCACTATATAATGATACTTCTATATTAATTAGAGAAAGATAGTAAAGGGCGGCACTGCATTTAAAGCCTGAAAGGATAGTCCAACCTAATATAATAGTTATTTTATTAATATTACCCAGTTCACTTCCCATTTAATTTGAATAATTTGGTGATATTGTCCAGGTTGTGGCACTGGCAACCCCTTGAGATGCTTATCTGGAGGCTGGAAACTGACCAGTTATTGTTACCTGTTACCTGGACTGCAGCAGCTACAAGCGGCACCTTATCCTTTATTTTGGAAGCGTCGACAATGGGACACTTTCGGGTTGCCGCCGCCGCTGCTGCTGACACCTTTCCGGCTGCATGGGAATGGGAATGAGGGCCAAGATCGTGGCCAGGAAAGGCATCTGCTGAGGCCGAGGAGCAGGCAGGCAAATTAGAATAACTTAAATACACGGCGGCACGCATTAAGCGGCTGCAGGCGATACCATCTCGCTTCGGATGCGGCTCCTCTCGATTTCTGTTCGGTTTTGGCGAATCCTTTTCGCCCGCTATCAAAAAGTAATAAATCTGCCGCTGATCCATCGTAAATCTTTGCGTTCCCTTCATGATTTACCCACATAAATCAAAATTATCGAGCGAGCCGCAGACTCCGCTTTGAGCCAGGTTCGCTGGCTCGCTCTTGTTGTTGGCCAAATGGAAGGCGTCAGAACTGGGCCTGTTAACTGCTCGAAAGTGTTAAATGCACTCCCCAATCTGCGAACTCTCTCGGGATCATCTCTCCATTAGCCAATCCTCGGGCTAATTATGGCAAACATTTTTTGGTTATTGCATTTAGTGTTCCAATTATCGCCTGCAAGGAGGGATGAGCAGCATTTCCAGCTGTCGGATCATGGATCAGAGATCACGGATCACCCAGGCTGCAAACCCATCACACGCACCTTTTGGAAACTCTTGAGCTGGGAGAGTGTGTATTACTTTTTTGGGAAAATTCGTCACATGCAAAGTGAAATTAGAGCTGGGCTAATTTCATTTAATTTTCAAGCCACTCAGGCGAAGAAGAAGCGACCGCTACAATTACAGCATATTTTCCCCAATTAATAATTAATAATTTGTTTGGGTCACGAAACGCTCTGCGCAGGGCAACAGTTTGTACACAGAAGAGTCCGCGGTTATTTCTTTTTTGTTTTCGGGAGTTTTCCGAGTGAAAGAAGCCAGAAGGAAAGGCGACCTGACCCGCCTTCGCCTCCAGACATGGCAATCCGCCTGACTGAGACGGTTAATTGCTGTCACAAAAGTCGAGGTCGCAATTGTAGGTGCCTGCAGGTGAAAATCTTAGACAAAGACCTGGCCGATGATAGACACGCAAAGCCAGTCAGAGGTGCAGAACACATTTTGTGTGCGAGCTCCGCTTCCTTCCTGTCTTGAACCCGATGACCCTTCACATGAACCTCTAAAGACCTGCCCCGTCTTGCATCTTCCACCAGAAGAGCAGTTGGCTGATGGCTTTCCTTTTTGGCCAGATTTCACTGAGGCGTCAGCTGTTGGAAAGTGAAGAAATTACAAAAGATTTTATATGAATTTTTTTGAGATTTGTAAATACCTTGTGATATCCAGGGGTAATGTTGTTTTTAAGGCCTGTTTCAAGAGGAAATCTCTCCCTATTTCTTCCCCCTAAAGTTCGCTCTAATTCAGTCTCAATTTGTGCGCTGGGCAAACCCATAAATTAATTGATGCCCTGGCCTGGCCTGGCTAGCTGAGTGATAACCATCGCAGACTCTCCTCGATTTCCACACCCTTTTTTCCCCCAGATCCTGTTCGCACATTCCCTGTGCATTTAGGCTTCGGTGGGGAGGGAAAAACTCTTTGCAGACTCGCAGATTCTGCGGCCAATAGAGACATCACCATCGGCGTTAACCCATCCCATTGCAGCCCCTGTCCCTGTTCCACTTGAATTATGTGTGTCTCGGGCTGTGAATGAAGCGATGTGCGACCAGGATTGGCTAATGTACGGGCTGTGTCCGCTCCGTGGCTGCCACTGCCCACTCAGTGCTCCCCGGCTCCTCAGCGCCTCGGCTCCTCTGCTCCCTTGCTCCTCCGCTCGTATCATCAAAATTGTCGTTGGCTCGCAGTTAAATTAAGTCATAAATTCAGTATTTATCTGCTGAATGTAGTTTGTTGTCCGGTCATCACTTCAGCGTCAGCCTTTGTCGCCGCTGCCCAGGCCCAAGCCGGTCGTCACGAGAACAGTGGATGGGAATGGAGTTTGTCCTACTTAAAATTTGGAATGTGCTCTATAAATTAGAAAAATTATATCTAAAAGAATTTAAGTACAAGCTGTTCAAGTTGGCAGTTGATTTGTTTATTATTTTCTACTATTTTATTGGTTTTTATATTGACCTAAATGTCACTCTTTTATAAGCTATTCCTGGAAAATGTTAACAAGTTAGTTAGGAACCTTTATATAAGAGATTCTAAGGTAAGATTCTTAGCAGAAAATATATATTTTTATCCACTTAATTCCTCATCCTAACCACTGTCCCTGTGCCCCGTGAAAGCCGCTTTTATCCAGGTTGCTGTTGCTGCTTTTATGGCAGCCAGATAGCTCGCATGTGTCACCGATCCTCCTCCCTCTCTTAGCATCGGATCCTCGATAGCCCCGCTCCTCGATGCCAGATTCCTGGGACCAGGTTCCAGAGCTTCCATTCCCACCATCCTCCAAGCCCCGTATTGGTTCCGGGGCACTGGCTTAGCCCCACTTAACCGGACTCTTCGGGGAGGTGCGAGTAATTGGATTGAGTTGGCTTTTCTCCTCATTCGCACTGCCAAAATATGGGTTTTTTGGATTTTTATTATTCCTTCTGGCCCCTGGGAACGAGATTCACTCTCACTGGCCAACTTTCCTGACTCGGATTCGGGATGTAGATTTATTGGTGCACATCAATTAGCTGCCATCTCGAATATCGCCGCCGGCATTGTGGCACAAATCATTGATAGTGCGGAATCAATGCGGCAGGAATAGATAGATATATATATATATATCCGTGGCACCAATTAGTCACTCTTTGTCACTCTTGGGAAATTGCAGGTCCTCGGGCTTTGGCTGTTTACTATTTATTGAAACATAACACATTTTTGGGCATTTTTTAATGTCAGCCTAGGTATCTCTTGGATCACCTGTAAAGCCTGGGAGTCGCACAGTTGCAGGTAACCGAGTGGCTATTGTCAGTGTCTTTGCTGTCACCATGGAGACGTGGCCGTTGTCGAGATACTGAGACAGATTCCCGATGACACTAAGTGCTCCGAATCCCGGTGTCCCAACCACTCTTCCCCCCGTCTCACGTGCTCAAGGCATCATCATTTTTTACGCCATCGTGCTCCTGCGGCAGCGTGAAATATTTTGACAAATCGCAGCCACTTAATCAGGAATCATCATCGAAAAGGGATCGATGTTTTGTATTGAGGCATCAGCGCGCATAAAGGACATGCCTGCCGGTGAAATGGTTGTGTGTGTGTTTGTGTGTGTGTGATAGAGTGTGTGACACTGTGACTGTGCCAGTGCTTGGTTGTGTGTGGGTTGAACAAGGGATTTCCGCCGAAGCCGATAAAAGGCTATGAAAGACACACCGCTGGGTGACTTGCACTGAGGGAAAAATTTAGCTAGGAGATGTGAGAGATTGTAGACAAAATATCTTATAATTCTTATTGAAAGTATATGCTAAAAATTATATTTTTGTACATATTTAAATGTGCTAAATAGACAAATTTATAGTTATTTGGTGACAGTGTTATTTAGTGACCAAAAGTGAAGAGATTTGCTAAAGGGTTTTAATTATAATACATTTAATGTTATTAAGTTAATTCTACACTAAATAAGGCAAACAAATAGAGTAAGTTATAGTATTCTAAACAGCTTTTTTGATTCCTAAGAAGTATCAACCCTTTTTCGAATAGTTTTCCTCAGTGCTAAAGCTGGAAGCTTCAGTACCTGTGTCGCACTTGTCACCTTATTTTTCCGAAGCTGAAAATTATGACTGTGAGACACTCTCTTTCTCACACACACGTTTCTGGTGGTAATGAGTGTTCATTTGTGTTAACACGTGATTAGACCCCGAATCAATCTTAATAATGAGCGACGTGACACTCGCACATAGGGGTTAGCGTTAACCTGCTGTTAGCTAACCGCCGTTAAATCGCTAACTGATTGAAGTCGCGCGACCCTGACTGCCTCATATGCACTCCCCTGAGTCCCTGGAGGAACCCCTTACCCTAACCCCAACCTGAACCCGAATCAGAAATCCCTCGATCAGCCATACAAATTGCCAAACATTTATCAATAACGCGAGACGTGACCAATTAACAGTTTCTCGAGTCAATAAAATGAATCGTTAAGTGTGTGCTTGGCCTGAACAGAAAGACAGATCCTTCCCAGACCCAAACACGATGGAACACATGTGATCTCCCGATCAGAACCCATTCATTGAGTTGACGTCCTTTCGATAATGA